AATTTCGGTCACTTAAACCACCAAACAAAATGTTTGATACACACATCCCATCAAACATAGCATTGATGTTATTATTATATATAAATTGGCGTATAGTTTAATTACAATAAATTCAGCAAATAAATTTAATTTATTTAATAAGTTCATTTTGAAAATTAAAATAATTTTAGTTAAAATATTATATTAAGGTTTTATGACATTTATGCATAACTACAACATACGACTATTGTAAAATAGTATTATTAACTAATTGTATGTATTACGACATACAAAATATGATGACATAATACGTTTTATTAATATATTAATAATAAAATATGTAATTGAATTTATTATAGCAATAGAAAACCCCGTTTTTAATTAATATTTTAGTTATTATTAATTATGAAGTTGTAGTCATAAGAAATATCACTCATTATTAGTTATCTAAATATAAATATAAAATATAAAAATTAATTATATAATATTTAATAATTTAATAATATATAAATTATTAATTTTATATAACACTACAACCTATTAATATAGATTGTAAAAAATATATAATTGAATTTATTATAGCGATAGAAAAACCACTTTTAATCAATATTTGTGTTATTAATTATAGACATCTCGTAATGTTGATTAATCCCGTACGTGAAACATTAATATTCAATATATTCTCAAAATACATTATATAAAGCAATGCATTATAAATTATAATGCAATGCTTTGTATATAATGTAATTATAATTTATAATAAATATAAGGCCCCAAATAGTCATGAAAAACAGACCAAATAGTTATTGACCAATACTAAAATAAGTAATTATTATTTGATAAAATGCACTTTCTTATTTACATTTAAATATATTATTTATTGATTATTAATATTTATAATGTTTTTCTTGTTTTGCATTTCTCAAATAATTATATAATAACTAACATCAGAATAGGCTAAAATATGGTTTTATTATATTTGTTAAATTAGATTAAGAATTAATTAATAAAATCATTCTTAAAATGCATAATACATAGTACTAGAAATGCAAAACACTTTCTCTAACCGTCCGGTGATTATCTTCGCAGTGAAAGCCGTCATCTGTTTCTTCACTTCAATTAAACCCAATTTAGTTGCGATTGCTTTGGATTCGCGATTAAAGTGCCAACACTTGTAATTCACATCTTTGCGCCGACTCTCAGGCAATTGTTGACAACATTTGTTGACCAATAATTCAGCGATTTCTGCGTTGTCCGCATACAGGGGCTCAACGACTGTCACACCAATACTGGTGTTCACAACTAGACAATAGCCCAGCACTTGATTTCTCTCGTCGATTGCCACCAAATGTATGCTTTCCGGACATTTTGATAGACCATCGATGTAAACACCTCTATCCATACCGCACAGGTCTCTATCGTATTCGATCACACTCGGTAGAGTGTCATTATTTATTGCCACCAAGGTGATGCCATCAATTGTATCAATCATGTCCTTATTTATGGTCAGTTGTCCTCTTATATGACAGAGACGTCTGTCGGGAATACAAGTGAAGTGATGGCAATCCCTGTATATCTCAAATATTTTTTGACTAAAGGCAAAGAGACCAACATTTCTGCCACCCGTATGTGCCATACCTATAATTAATGTGGTCAGGAGAGATTTAATTTTGAATGATCAAATATTTATCGTAATTTTACCTTTATTAAATATATTTTGCCCAATTCCGTGTCCGCGATATTCCGGACGCACACAATATCCGCCAATAAATGCGAGATCGTTGGACACATTAACAAATGAACAGTAACCTAATAATTTACCTGTACAATATAAGGGTTGAACAGATTTTTATGACAATATAATATTTAGTAATGTATACAACATTAATAGATTGCCTAGAATATATTCTATCTTATTTAATATGGCAGTACAATAAACGAGCTACACTAGTCACATAAGTATACATTTTATATAGAATTAATAATGCTTTATTGATGATAAAAGTTGCAAAATTTAGTATTTCATACCGGAATCGGTGTCTTCGGCCACAAGTATGCCCTCCGGATCCGTTGTAAACATGATTTCGTTCGCGTATTTAATTACTAAAAAGTCCATAATATTCCACATTTCGCGCACTTCATCGAAATCAGTCGATCGAATCGTACGGATTATATAATTAGGCTTAATATTAATGCTACACATTATTGTTTGCACAAATATCTATGTGGATATTATATTGTAATTTTAATTTTTAATATTAGATAACATTTAATTAACTCAGTCGTTTATATACTAAAAATATCAGTTATCCCAAGGCCATATTTTGCTAATCAAGTACATTTACGTAATTTCGCTCCACAAGTTCCAACGTTTCAATGTCTACTATCAGTATAGATATCAAAGCAGTGCAAAATTGCAACAATAGTCAAATAATTTAAAAAAATTATTTTATCAATATTAGAAATATTAAACATGTGTTCAATAAAGCATTAAATCATACAATGAATAAAACATTACTTGTATATTAAATAGCGTTTTTCTGTGACTACTGCACTGATTTTGCACTGCTTTGATGTCTATAGCTATCAGTTAACATAGCTTTTATATCATAGCTTTTAATGAAGATAATTATTGACCATCCTTGATTGGCAAAGTTTTCTGATGCAATAATTTATTTTGTTTGGTTTAATAGATATGTCAAGTGATATCGTATTAATAATTTATTATATATTGTGAGAAGTTAACTAATTAAATATGTTTAATTATTTAAGTGATTGTACATTAATACTGTAAATTTTTTAATTCATGTCACTTAAATTATTGACACTTAAACACATGACATTTAACTGTTGTAATGAAATTAATTTGATCATAAACATTTATAGATATTAATAAAAATATTACAATTTGTATAAAACATTTAATTATCAATAATAATTGTTTAGATTTATGAATCGTGTTGATAAATATTATTATTAAATGAATTAATATTTAAATCTATGTTGCAACTGGCAAAATGCGCCTGGTGTTGGCATTATGATCACTTCCAGCTACTGAGTCACGTGTTACATTAAAATTATTTATAACAACTGTATTATTATTATTTTGTTTGTAATAATTTTTATTAAATATATTAATCGCCGATTTGAGGCATATGTCGGACAAAATGATTACTGAATAACCGAACCAAAGGCTGACAACACTACTGACCAAACAGAGAAACTCAACGAAATATACTTTTGGTGTTTGTCTATACGTTAGCACCGGTAGGGATGGCATCGCAAACCACAAGCTAATAAACCTGTTGTAAATCGACGCGTTAGATGACCATTGGTCAAGTTGTAGTTCGTGTACAATATGATAATACTCTTGGTAACAATCGGGATTACGATCGCAAACATCTAAGCAATCGGCCGTTTGTTTGTCAATATCGCCGCCAAAACTCAGTCTCAGATTCCGGTCGTAAACGAGATAATTGTCGGGCAATGACTGGTTTGCGGCCGACAAGCGATCCAACAGACACTTTGCCCGACACTCGTATTGCGAGCCCAGACCGCGGGCAGTGTAGTCGACACACCCGGACCCGTACGGCGCCGGCAACTGTTGGACAACCATTTTCTGGTACTCGAGCTGAACGTAAGCGTATTTATCATCAATATATTTATGGCCAATCTGTGACGATTGCGATATTGCCCGGTGCCTGGGGTGCATGTGCAAATTTAACCCGCGATATATCTTCATATCCGATATGCGCAATAGATGTCTTTGTTGATTACCATGTTTGTGTGTGGCATAATTATTACGTATCCGATACCTATCGTCCGACAATTTATTGTCCATTTGCGAGAATAATGTCATACAATAGTTAGAGCCGTCTATCGACTGTCGTATGGGTGTTATGTACCATGTTTGTGTGGGGCATAATTATTACGTATCCGATACCTATCGTCCGACAATTTATTGTCCATTTGCGAGAATAATGTCATACAATAGTTAGAGCCGTCTATCGACTGTCGTATGGGTGTTATGTTCGGGCATTGGATACGATCGCCGGTAGTATTTATAGCCACCGGTCTATTGAGCGCACAGTCGGCGTATATAACTTCCGGTTTAAGCAATGATTTAAATTGGTCACTAATTGACATGTTATTAAAATTAAAATCAGCATGTTCGCTAAGTTTGTCGTTGATTTTGGCAGCGATTTCCGGTCGAATAAACGTGTTTTTATACATACATAGAGTGATTGCCGGCAATGATATGATTGTCTCGGTCTCGATGTGTATATCAGTTGTGGTCTCGTATGAGAAATATTGTGTTAATACTTGCGTTAATTGAAGGCAACATCCGATCAAACATAATACTCGGGATATGTTTTTGTAATTTATAATAGATTTCAAAATTTTAGTAATCAATATATTTATTTCCATTTCAAAAATATACTTAAAGTAGTGGTTCATTCGGCATTCATTCATACGCCATACCGCAGACATATAAAATAAAACACATTAATTAATATGAAAGAAACAGATATTTATTAAACTAAATTAAACTAAACTAAACTAAACTATTTACAAACTAAACTACATAGATTAAAGACACAGAGAGTTCTGAGGGGAGAGAATGTTGCGGTGCTGATCGCATCACTCTCTCCTCGTGTGTGGGGCGGACCTAAACTAATGAGAATTATGCAAAATATCCGTATTATTTCATTGACCGCCATACACCACTTACAATATTACACTCAAATTTAAATATTATTTACCTGTAATATACAGTAAGTTATTTTAATTATATTTAACATTTATACTAAATTCAAATAATGAACTAAATATATTGAATAAATAGAATTAATTATTTATGATCAACATTTTTATCTCAAATAGAAATAATATAATAAAAGACATGTTTTGTATATTTAAATATTATTGTTCATTACAATACATATTATTTAATTCATTATTTTAATTTACTTAAATATAAAAATATAATTTATAACAAGGACATAATTTGTAATTAAAGTAAAGTACATAGTATTAGCGATAAAAACCCTCTACTTATCTGTCCGGTAATTATATTGTTTAGTAAAAGCAGTCATTTGTTTATTACAGTTAAACTCAATTTAGTAAATATTTCAAGTGATATGGTATTATTATATTAATATTAAGCTTATATATTTAATTAACTAAATAATAATAATAATAATTAGTGTTGGTATTTAAATGTTTAAACAAATAAAACGTGATAAAACACACGAAATTGAAAAACGACAAAATATGTTTAAACATATAAAACCATATTTTTGGGTTTTTGTTGTGGAATTATGATATAAAATTCACATTTTCGCAACAAAAAATGTTAAAATATAATATTTAAAGTCACAATTAAAATTTGAGAAATTAGTACAGATAAATATTATTGTGACTACCAAGTAAAAAGTCATTTAATTATTGAAATATTTATTAAGAAAATAGTGCAAATTAATACTAAATATGCATTAATAGCATTTTAAATAATTATTACTTTAATAATAAATATTGTGTGTGTTTTTTATAAAAAAAATCTATAAAAACATATAAAACCATGTTTTTTTGGAATTTGATTGAACAAATAAAACAAATTCTATCTTATTAATATATTCTATAAGAACAAATAAAACACACCATTTTTACAGAATTAATAAAAACATATAAATTTCAACACTAATAATAATATTTATTTATTCAAAGAACTTAAATAAATAAATATGTTTAATTATCTACAATGTATGTGAGTGTACAATAATAGATTAGTAAGTTATATAAAATGGTAATTTTAAATTCATGTCACTTAAATTCTTGACAATTAAACATATGACATTGAACTGCTGTAATGAAGTTAATTTGATCATAAACAATTATAAGTATTAATAAAAATATTGTCATTGCATAATAATTGTATAAATTTAAGAATAGTGTTGATAAATAATATATTCAATGAATTAATATTTAAATCTATGTTGCAAAATGCGCCTAGCGTTGACTTTATGATTAATTCCAGCTACTGAATAATGTGTTGTATTAGAATTATTTATAACAACAATAGTATTATTATTATTTATATTATTATTATTTTGTTTGAAATAATTGTTTTTAAAAATATTAATCGCAGATTTGAGGCATACGTCGGACACAATGATTACTGAATAACCGAACCAAAGGCTGACAACACTACTGACCAAACAGAGAAACTCAACAAAATATACTTTCGGTGTTTGACTATACGTGAGCACCGGTAGGGATGGCGTCGCAAACCATAAATTAAGATACCTATACTCAAACGACTTACTACTAGACTCGTTAGACGACCATGGGTGATATTGTTGTTTGTGTACAATTGGATAATACTCCTGGTAACAATCAGGATTACGATCGCAAATCTCTAAGCAATTGGCCGTTTGTTTGTTAATATCGCCGCCAAAACCCTGTCTCAGATTCCGATCGTAAACGAGATAATTGTCGGGCAATGACTGGTTTGCGGCCGACAAGCGATTTAAAAGACAGTTCGCCCGACACTTGTATTGCGAGCCCAGACCGCGAGCCGTGTAGTCAACACACCCGGACCCGTACGGCGCCGGCAACTGTTGGACAACCATTTTCTGGTACTCGAGTATAACGTTAGCGTATTTATTATTAATATATTTATTGCCTATCTGTGATGATTGCGATATTGCCCGGTGCCTGGGATGCAGATGCAAAGTTACCCAGCCATATACATACATACCCCCAATGCTTACTAGATCTTGTTGTCCATTATTTTTGTGTGGGGCGTAATTGATTCGTATCCGATACCTATCGTCCGGCAACTGGCCGTCCATTTGCGAGAATAATGTCATACAATACTGAGACTCGTCTATAGACAGTCGTATAGGTGTTATATCCGTACATTTTATAGGATTACCGGTAATATTTATATCCAGTGGTCTATTCAGCTTACAGTTGACATATATAAATTCCGGTCCATACAATGATTTAAATTGGTTATTAATTGACATGTTATTAAAATAACCCACAAAATTATTATAATCCACTATTTTGTAGATTTTAACAATGCTTTCGTGTCGGATATGCGAGTGTTTATTTATACATAGAGTGATTGCCGGCAATGATATGATAGTCTCGGTCTCAATGTGTATATCAGTTGTGGTCTCGTATAAGAAATAATGTGTGAATACTTGTGTTAATTGAAAACAACATCCGATTAAACATAATAATCGCGATATGTTTTTGTAATTTTTAATAGACTTTATAATTGTATTGATAAATATGTTAGTTTCCATTTAAAAATTTTACTCATAAGTAAGTGTAATGCTTTATATTACAAAAATAACTTGTTAATAATTAATATTCAGTTATTTTATTCCTCGATTCTAAGTATAAGATATGTAAGAATACAATGATATTTAATAAATGTCATACATCAATATACATAATTCATTAAAATATATACACATTCAAATGTGAATATTATTTACCGTAATATAAGTTACATTGTTTGCATGCAATAATAATTAATTTTAATATTTAAGATAAATGCAAATAATGAACTAAATATACATGTATTGTAATGAATGATAATATTTTATTCTTTTAAAATACATAACAATATATTATATTATACAGTAGTATATTATAGATAACAATAGATACAATATTATATCTATTATAAATAAAAATACATTTGTAATGCTTAGGTTTATGTCATAAATAAGTTTTAACATTGGACTCTACAGCAAAGAATAGTTGATTAACAATAATATATATTAATCGAAAGAATATTATGGAAATACAGATTCTATAGCATATGAATGTGAACATTAACTCATGTTATATGTGATAATATTAGACAAATCAATCAAATCTAACTATTGTATCAATGAATATACGGTAATCATTAATATGAAATTAATAGATAAAATGCTAAAAAAAATTGGAAAATAAAATTACAAGCGCTAACAATATATCTAGGTTATAAGACAAGTTACAAATGTTTAATTTTATTAATTTACTAATAACATAAAAATAACTTCCATTACACAATATCTCATTAAAATATATGACATGATAATGATTGTATAACTGTTCCAAAATGAAATTGATAATATATTTGTTAAAATGTTGCTCAATTATAATATTAAAAATTGTTAGTATATGTTACTGTACAGTTGATGTAATAATAAGAATCTAGTAAACAAAATATATTGTATTTAGTTAATTTTTTAGATAATATCTAGTCAAAGTTAAAATTTACAAATAGGTAACTATTTTAATTATTTTATAAATTTATAAGTTATAGTTTTACCATCTTTAATAATGCATAAAATAAAACAGTCTGTTTTATTTGCTATAAATAAACATTTATTTAAAATCGTGACAACAATAGTATGTTTGATGGGATGTGTGTATCAAACGTATAAAATTAGTTTATTATATTTTTCATACGAAACCACAACTAATATCAGGTTTGACTCACAATCCATACTACAGGTGCCGGCGATTACGCTATGTTTTCATAAACGTGAATTAATTAATAATAATTTTAAACAAAAATGGTCAAATTATACAAACCATCGGGAATATTTATTTAGATTTTACAAACTTAGTATCAGTCAACAAATGCGTGCACTTATCCCACCTGGTAAACTTATATATTGTCAAATATGGAACCATGATGGTAAAGTATTTAACTGCAAAAAAGCTACCCAGTATATTTCATCAATTGATGCTAGCCATTATTGTTTAACATTATTTTCTCAATGGATTGGCGACTATAATAAATATAGTAAAATAGATGCCAAAAATTACCTAACTGAAGGAACATCTTACGCTTTATTAAAAGTGCATGATAAATTTAAATTTAAATTAGGATTTTGGATGCATTTACATCACAGCAACGATAAAGTATACAACTCTGACCGTAGAGGGAGGTTATTGTTTGATACAGGCAATGTGGGCAGAATAAAATTTCAGACAACTATTGTCAAATATGAATCCAAGCACAATATACGATGCTTTGACCAAGGACATTCGCGCGAAAGCTGTATTTATCAATGTAGATTAGCAATGTGTTGTAACCAGTCCAATGCTAGGCCTGCGTCTGATTTATATTATCAAATAGATTATGATAAATTTAATAACAGTAATACTTATCTCACAAAATACAACACTACTATCGACAAGGAATGTCAAAACATATGCGGTTATAAAGTGCAGTGCATTCAACACTATTATACATCAAATTATATAAAAGATAATGTTACATTACCTAAAAATGATTATGGTTATTATTTGTTGTTAGAGATACCCTCTCCACCGGAAATAGTATACACTATAACACAGAAAATGTCAGTCGAAGAGTACCTGTGTTTTGTGGCCAGTCTTCTGGGCCTATGGTTTGGCTTTTCTGTTATGGTTTTAAGTAATATTTTACGCATATTTTACAAAAAGTATATTTTAAACATAATTATAAAACAACCCATTTTCTTAAACATAAATAATAATTTTCCGCTCAGTTTGCAAAACACAATTATGAAATGTAAAAAATCATCAAAATTATTTACACAGAGAAAATCATTACCATATTAATAACGACAGCAGTGTATGTGATTTATGTTTATGGTTAATTATTTGTTTTAAAATTGAAATTAAAATATAATTAAAAAATAATAAATTTGAGTTACAAATAAAATATTTTAAATAATGTAATGCATAACCTAAACTATCCCACCATGCCATTTTCTCTGTGACTAAACACTCATTACATTCTTATTTTTCATACACTTACTATTATCTAGTCAACATTGATTATTGTAATGAAATTTTAAAAATAGTAAAATTCAATATTAATATATACGTACAGTATATTGTATATAATTTTTATATATCATGTGAAAATTTTAACTGCAAGTTGAGTATTATCATAAATAAGTAATTCAACCAAATTATTAGTTATAATCGTTATTTATTTAATAATTCATGAGAAATTTCATGTTATACATTTAAATAATATTTGATGTAACACGAATTAATTTTAATATTAATATAATAAATGTAAATTCATAAATATTAAATATATTTAACTATCATTCATTGTTTACGTAAACACATTTAAAATGGATGCAAAATTATTGTATAATAAAATAATAAACTTAATTAAAAATTATGATAATATCGCACGCGTGTTATGTCTAATTGGATGTTGCCTTCAATTACAGCCATTATTAACACAATATTTCTCATACGAGACCACAACTGATGTGCGCTTCGAGACCGAGACTATCATATCATTGCCGGCAATCACTCTATGTATGCAAAAGCACTTATATATAAGACCAGAATTGGAGTCCAGAATATTCCGGAACTTCTGCGTTGAATACAGCGATGAAATGCGCGAACAAATGATTGACGAGTATATGGAAAACATGACTATTAGTGAGCAGTTTATGGCATTGAAAACACCAGCAGATCTCGGCATCACTGGTGATAATTGTCTGGTTATAAAACCATTATATTTCAGTCAACACAATGTTACGGGCGTTACGATCAAGTGCTCAACTGTGGCGCCCATACGACTGGCCATTACGGGTAACTTGTATTGTTTGACACTATTTGCTGAACGCAATGGCGAGTCCATTGACAGATACCTAATACCGAATAAACCTGGTAAAGTTACAGCGTTAACCAAGATTATTACTATGGAGGATATCCATTTAGGCCCGGAGCTAGTGTTTTACTTACACCCACGGCATCGGGCGATTACCAAACAATCTGAGCCTGGTCTAAAGAAATTCAAGTCCAAGTTTGAGCAAATTTCCATAGAATATCGCAAAACGGTTGTCCAATCGTTGCCCACACCGTACGGCACGTGCCGTGAGTACCGGTCGGTCGACTACCAGTCCCAACACGAATGCATATCTAAATGTAAAATTGATTACTTTATGAACAAAACACGTGAATTTCCAGCTGAATATCTTGCATACGACCAAAATCTAAGTTTAATATTTAATGAACCAAATAATACTCACAACCCCCTCATTATAGCTGGCCGTACGGTCGACTGTACCGACTCGTGCCCTGATAGTGCCGACTGTTACCAAGAGTACTACGAGATTGTCCAGATTGAAGCCTACTATCCCTGGCCTCCCAACGCTACCGGTGCTAACGATACGGTTGACTATTTTGAGTTTAAAGCCCCGTCGTTACCGATGCAGACATATCAACAAAAGCCTGCGCTCTCATTGGTTGAATTACTTTGTATGATTACCGGTATATTCAGCCTGTGGTTCGGCTTCTCGGCGCTGTTTGTGTTTGACGTATGCGTTCAATCAATGATCACACTGTATAATAAATATAAGCAAACGTTTTATGTTTTTAATAACAATAATTTTATTGTTGTAAAGAATGTTAAGGTAAATAGGAATAAGCTTTGTACTAAATCACTTACCAATTCCATATTTATTAGCAAGTAAAAATTATCATAATTTATTAAGATTTATTATTATTTGGTGATTAGACGATTAATATTTTTATTAACTTAATTAGCAAAAAAAAGATATTTACAATTTAAGCTAAAATATTTATACAATAAATAAATTAATGAAACATGGCAATTTAATAAGACACCTGTTATAAAATAATTTAAAATATGTATTAAATTTGACAGTAATTTATTTAAATTAAATATTAAGATTTCTGCGCATAAATAACTTTGGGAACCTATTGTAATGATGACTAACATTATTATTATTACGCAAATGCAATTGAAAATTATTATTAATATTGTAAGTGTTTGTAATGTTTTGTGTTGAAATAATATTCAATATATATTTATTAAATATTTGTCGCAAAAATTTAGTTAAAACCATAACAGAGAAGCCAAACCATAGGCCCAGAAGACTACCCATAAAACACAGGTACTCTTCGACTGACATTTTCTGTGTTATAGTG